AAAAATGGCAAACACTTAAATCTTTCGCCTCTGAAACCCTTTGCCCTTTGCAATCGCTCCCATGACCCGGGCCCCTCCCGACCGGAAACAAAGCCCTGGTTTTCGCCCGAGTGTCTGAATCCGAACGCCAACTGGAGCTAGAGCAGACGTTGTAGCCGTCGCATCCCTCGATCCTTGATTAACGTAAGGGGTAAAACGCCTCGACTTTAAACGCCTTTCTTGTCTGGCCTTTCGATCCGCCTGCAGCTGTGCTCGATACATTTTCTTTTCGTCATCGGATCCTTCTGCAAGTGGATGTGTTTCATATTCTTTAACCACACGCCATCCTAGGTCGCTAGAATCGGCCAATTTTATTATTTTTTGACGGTACCTTAAAGTGTCCATACCTTCAACTACTTTCTGTGTGGCTGCCTCTGCTTTAGTCGATCCGCTAGAAACCAAGTCTTCGAGCTCGTTCCTTGCTTCAGCCAAACTTCCAAGGACTTTCTTGTTAAGCTTGAACTGTTCCTCGTTTCCTCGCTTTCGAAACTGATAATTGTCACATGTATCCAATTTTAGCTTTAATTTTTCAAGCTGAGTTTCTGAGATACGTTTTTGAGCTTCAGTCATCGTTTTCTCAAACAATTTACTTGAAACTAGACCATCTATTCTACTTAACAGATCATTTTCTCCCTCTGTATTGTCCATTTTTTTTCTTTTTTTGCCACGTGGTCACCCAAACTTATAAATTTAATTTTGTACGTCTTTACTAAACGAGCGTGTCCGGTAGACTGATTCGCCTTTCGATAAACATCCCAAATATAAAATACACCCACGATTTTCCCGTGCAATACATTTACACACTAATATATACTTCTCACAAAAATGAACGCAACGTAAAGACAATATTTTCGCGCTATACTAGCGAAACGCGCGAAAATTTCATTCTCTGGTCCCAATCAGTGAAGAAGACAATAAAATGTCATCGTTGATTTGTGAGATATGTTTACAGAGAACAAACTCTATATATGAGAATGTTGAGCTTGTTTCAATGTGTAGTGCAGTTTGTGACTGTATATAAAGCTGTTCTGAAACAATCGTTTTGTGTGATAGTGGATGAGCAGTGGCTATGCTTTCATGACTGTTCTGCTAGGCGCTGTGCCGTAATTGGACTGGCATATCGATGTGGTGGTATGTGTGTATATATTCTCTCATTTCTATACAAAAATTTCTGCACACTTTTATCTTAAGTGATCCCACGCAGGGGAAAGTATAACTGTATTGAATTAATTATCTCCCTTTATATATATATATATATATATATATATATATATATATATATATATATATATATATATATATATATATATATATATTTATATATAATTAATATATAATTATATGTTACTATTTTTAAAAATGCCTTTATAACTATTGTCATTTGACAGCCTGCGGCTACGGTATTAAGTATTTATGATGATTGTATATAAATATAAGTCCAGGAACGCTGCTTCTATTAAACACGGATGATATCATGGCTCATTCATCCGGCAATCGAAACATTGTAAACAATTAAATAATGAAATAAATATGTGCCAAAAGGTCAATTCACTGAAGTAAGAGTGGTTGCAAATCTGTTTTTGCTTTTTATTCTTTTATTAAGACGTATTTTAACAGCCTCTTTAAGGAAACAAGACTCCCAGCATCGCATCCAGATTTAAGCTAGAAGATTTTTAAAGATGATATGAGGCCAAATAGAGCAAATGCATTGATTTAATTGTATGTCAGATAGATTGCAATATAATAATTACTGTGTTCATTTTTAAGCCGGATGTTCTAACGCTTCATGCAATAGTCGTGGTGTGTGCTCTGCTCAGGGCCATTGCACGTGTCCATATGGATACTATGGACATCAATGCGAGACACGTGTGTATTTCTTTTGTTGTTTATTTTATATTAAGCACTGTTCATTACACTTGTTCTGACCTTAGCGATTACCAGGTATAAGCAATGTAAATATGCAATCGTTTGGTTTAAACAATATTTTATTTCAGTCAAATATATATATACACAATATATTACAATAAAATGCAAAAAGATTGAGTAGAAAGCTAGAAGCTTGTTTAGAAACTCTCTCCTTTTTTTGGTTTAAACAATATAATGCAGTCGTTTAAATTTACTTCAATATCATTTTTTATTGATAACGTGCTTGTCTGTATTTGATATGAGTGGCCGATTCCAGATATGATTTCCATGAATATCCTATGACTTCTTTTTTTCCAGCAAAATGTGACATTACTGGAACCTCTGTAAGTAAAAACTTTTTGTATGATTTAGGAGTAAAATGATCGATCATTGCTTAAGCATAAGACTTTCTACCCGTTATACAGGTGCAAACTCAAAACTGGAAGTGGCATACATACTATGCAAAATTTTGATAGTTTATGATAATAGTTTATGATAATGATAGTGCAACATTGAATGTTTTAAATAGAGCCACCGATAGAATCACTGCTAAGCTTCGGAAACGATACCGACCCCAACCATTGTAGATATTTTAGATATACCTCGGATAAATTTTCAACCATTGAAATAAATAAATTTACACCATTTTTCTATATAACATAACAATCTAATTCATCTTCAACAATAATAATGTATCTTTTAAAACAATAACTAGCCGATTCCATGGATAATACCGACATACCACTTGTATTAAAATGACAATGTGTACTACCTTCGTCTTTAGTGCTTAGGTCTTGGTAGCTGGGTTTTTGGTGTCATTAATGTGTAGGTCTTTGATTGTATTGCACTTAATTCAATAATGCTAGAGTCAAAGCGATACAAAATAACATTCTGAACAGGCGCCAACACAGTGTGCAATTATTACGTACAAGAAATAGCAAAACGTTTGATTTGATGTTTCTAGACAAACACCGAGTTGTGTTGTTATTTATTTTGTTCATGTAGAAAACATAATGTTGTTAACAATAGTAAGTAAATCACAGCGGAATTACTGTATTTCACGATGAGAAAAACTCGTCTTGAATTCAAAATACAGCATGTTGATAATTAAAAAATTTGTTTGCTACATACAGTGTATAATAAATGTGTAAAAAAATAGCCATACAATATGTAAAAGGATGATTTCGGATTTTTTTTCTTTTTTTTATATATAGTTATGGTTACCTTGCGTTACTTTAGAGCTCGGCCTTAATAAGTTTTCCAAAACGCTTTTTATGTACACGTTATCTCAATTATTTAAAAAAAGACAATGACCTTTGAAGCGATTCATGTTAACAATACAGTTCTTCCGGTGTCAATTTGAACGATTAAATGGCAATTTGTGTTTTTTGAAATCGGATTCCATAACACGCTAAATAGCACTATAAAAATAGATGACACTTCAATTGTTTTATGTTTACTTGCGGAGAATATTTAAACATGAGTATTACTGACATATTAATTCGGGATATTCCTTCGTCATAGGTGGAACAACATGGTGAAAATTACCGATCGTGTCGGAAGATAACGACTTTCTAAATCACGTTTGTTTGTCAAATAAGGACATCCTAAAACACTTTTTTATCGTATTTAATGTAATCTTGGCATCAAAATCTATTAATATCAGAACAACATGTTTATTCAAGGCCGAAGAGTAAAGAATATTACTAACTTCGGCAGAATCGCCTTGAACTGAATCAAGATATATGACTATCATGTCTTTTGTTAAAGATTTCATAAAACGTCATGTATAGCAATGTTCTACCAAGTCAAGTGATCTGAACCAAGAAAAGAAAGCTGTAATTTGGGTTTAGTAAATAAACAAATCATAACACATGATACCAAACACACAACACACATATTTCTGTTTTTACGTTTATAGACAGGGATAATTTCACCTTCAGTCAAAGATGGAAGTAGACTGATTTGTTACTTACAAAGGGGCTTGATATCACAATGTGCTTTGCGTGTTTACGTCACTGGTAAATCAAGGTAGATATTAAAATACATATTAAGATTGTAAATTTTCTTAGGAATAAAACGAGATAATTAACTGTTTACAAGTTGATATCAAGGAAATTGAACTGAAAAACAATCTTTTTTACTTTAAAGGTCTTTTCGCATATTTTCGAGGATAATCTTTTTTATGTTATCAATAATTTTTAGGATATTGTAAAATTATTATTGAGAAAATCATGGAACTCAATAAAATGCCTTTCGCTTGCTTATGACCAATGACATCTCGAAGTTAGTTAAGGTGATCAGCAAGGTAATGTATACTTGAAACGCACTTAATCGAAGTGTAATAATTATAAAGCTCAATAAATAAACTAAATTGAATTTTATTCAATCAAAATACCAAGAGTGAGTGCATTCTGTTTTTAACTCTTTTCCTGTGTTTATTAAATAGTTCTGTACCAACCATAGACATTGAAACATCTAGAGAATTGCAAAATATCACAACAGTAGGAGATGCTAAAAGATCACAAGTCATTCCAGGGATTTCTACTATTTATACAGTAGATATTACAATTAGTGGAAAATTCAACAGTTCTAAGTTCCAGTATATTTGTGTTGTGGCGACTTATGTGTAAGTACAGTTATGGTAGTAATTCGTTTTACAAATGTATCATTTTTAGAACCAAATTTGATCTTTGCAAATCTCTTCAGACTTGAAACAATAACAATTCTTAATGGAAAATAATATTGCCCATAAGAAGAAAACTGATTTTACTCTTTTTATTTGACTATTATATTGCACGAACTTTTACTCACAACATATTAACTTTTTCATAACAAACATTTGTGAATTCTTTTGTGTAAAGTGTGTTCCTTTTGAAAAAAAAACATATGTAAGTAGATCATATGTTAAATTATCCATTTCAGATCGTCAAAATCTAGTGTTTGCTACGATATCAGCATTCTTCCCAATCGTAAGTAATAAAATAGCTATTTAACATGTCGCCAGACATTACATGCATGATACTTTCTTTAGTAAAATTAAAATGTCACTTGTTGTACATATATCTGCATATATAAGTAACTTCTAAAATTTTTGGTTTCAATGCACACAATGAAGCAAACAGTTGTAAAAGTGTCAATAAGATCGAGAATAAATTTCACGCCCTAAATTTGAAGTACATGTATATTTGATCAGAATTTAAAGTCAATCAGAATTTTAATTTTAATTAATTTGTAGCTATGCGAAACTATTGTCATCTGTCATTTAAAATATGAATGCACATTGATAATAGTATTTGTTAAAGAACTGATAACGAAAAATGCTATATTCCATTCAGTAGTTTAATCATATTAGTGAAGAAAATTTAAAAGCAGTAAAACAAATAGATATTAAGAATTTTTGGTACTCAACGTTACAATGTACTAGAGTTTTTGCTACAAAACCGACGTTGTACATTTATTGTCAGCTTGGACGATTCTGGAAAACCTATTTTAAATATATATTTCTTCATGATGTTGTGTTTTTGTTAGATATATTTCTTTTTAAGCATGTTACATAAAATGCAATGCGTAGATATAATGCATATATAGTGTAGGCATTTTACATAGTTTTATATATAGAAGTTCAGTGCTACTAGATAATCACTTTCTCGTGATGGGTACGGGTTTCCAAAATATATTTTCCTGTAAATAGCATAACAAATCAAAGGGGTTTATTATTTTGGACGTATCAACCACGTTTACCAAATAATTTGTGATATTTATTGATTACTTGCGATTGCAATCTTGTAAACTGAATGTTGTTGTAAACAAGCGGTTTTTCATGTTGTATTTGAGAGGATTCCGGCGAAAATAAGTTGTTACATCAATTATACAATTTGAAACAATTTTGCACAGATTTTAAGATAATGTTATTTAAGAAATAATATATCCCAAACTGTGATTTTATTGCTCAATAACATCACTGTTTGGAGTTCGGGTGCGGAGAATTATATCACGAGGGCGTAGCCCGAGTGATATAATGATGCGCATCCGAACGACAAACAGTGGTGTTATCAAGCAATAAAATCTCCGATTTGGATATATTATTTCGATTCTAACACGACATCAACAAATAAATGCTGCCGTACATTATAATTAGCTAAATTGCGCCTGATTTGTATCCGTACTTATTGTCAGCGTGTCACATTTTTGGTGGTTACGTCACGTGTATAATGATAACCTCACATGTCTAAATATAGAACGTCAGTCAAACAGTGATTTTATAACATAATAACACACTTTCGGTTCTTCTATGTTCAATAGGGGAAATGCGGGTCGTGTTAGAATTTTTCTTAACCTATATTTGTATTTCGTTTTATAAAAACGATCAATTGTTTTTCAGCTGAAGAAGATGCCACGAGTCTCGCATATCTCCAAAGACAGGTAAATTAAAATATGTATATATTTGTTCTTTTTCTTAAAGTCTAGTCCTGTTATGAGAACGACATTCACAAAGGCTCATTGCTGCGGACAAAAGAAACATTAACACGAGAGAATTAGCTCAAATAAATAATCTGTTTAATGAAAAAAGGCCTTCGTATTCACCATTTCCAATTTAACCATGCTTTATAACGGAGAACTCTGGTTAAACAATGTTGAAATACGGCGGTATTACGCCTGAGTGTTAACAAACTTGCGATACGTGTCTCAAGAACAAAGCATATTTCTTGTTGCCTATACAAATATTAAATAAGGCGTATTCCAATTTTTATATTTGTTCGCTCTGTTGCAACTGAGTCTGGTAAATGTTGATACAATAATGCCACGCGGTTCGTCTGTGAATTTGCCTCAACATTATTTAAGAAAGATAATACTTGTATCATTTTTTTATTATTGTCTTCATGTGTTTTTGTATCCTGACCAAGATTTAAACCGTTGGGCGGAAACCTATCACCAGACCACCACTGCGATATTTCCTGTAAAATTTCATCCTTCTGAAAATAACATATCTATATGATCCTAAACAAATAATTATGCATTATTTACCTGAGTGTATTTTGTACAGGCAAAGATTAAGTTCGTTCAACCAACGATGAAAGACGGAAGTCGAATAATATGTAGGACTTGGGAGAGATGTCAAATATTATTGTACACAGGTTTTGCATCAAACCGGTAAGAATGGGTTCATAAAAAAACATTACCACGAAGATTTCAGTTGTTTTTGATAATAGATGATTTAACAGTTTATATACTAAAATAACATAAATTGTACTCAATACAGTAATATATTGTATAAGCATCATTTTCTTGCTTAGAATGAATAAAATACATTTAACAACTATCAATATTTTTCACAAAGTTAGCATTAAATTGAAATATAAACTTCTCTAAATCTTTTACCGGACGTGTTCATCTTAATTTGAAACAAGTATACACAATTAATAAATCACTAGCATTGACTTATTCTGAATGTAATAAAATGAAATGAAAATACTTGTGCGTTTAAGGGCTGTTTAATGAATATATTGTTCTAAGGTCTTCTTGTCACGCGACAAACGTAACTGCTTCAACTGGTACTGTAAATGGCAGTTGTGACACAACTGATAGAGATAACGATGAAGATGAAATGGACTTAGCAAAAAAAACTACTTCACCATGCTGGTAATTAATTTCCTATCTTAACATATTTATCTTAATTTCTAAAGAAAATTTAATTTATACATGAGTGATCTATTGAGCAATTTATAAAGTTTGTAAAACATACATTTAAGGTCTATTTTAGTTTTCTTATTCGGTATAGTAAATACTTGTTATTTATTTATTTACACTGGTGTGCAGTGTATATTGAATTGCATTCAGAATAACTAAAGGAAGCACATTTAGAGAGAAAAGGAGAAAATCAGAATTTCAAGGCGAATCCTATAGTCACATATAGACATTTAGGCAGAATGAAATTACACATTTAAAAATTCATTTTAAGTTATAATTTGTATGTAAGTTAATAAGATGAAAGTAATCCTCCTTGCAAAAATTGTCAGGACCGTCTTATTTGATTTTGTTGGCGAAATTATTGCCCTTTGTTTTCCCAACATATGCAGTATAAAAAGATATACTCTTTTGCGCAATTTCTCATTATCAATGGATTTCAAATAAACTATTATTATTACTACATGTATTATTTTGTGTGTAAGTATTCTAGCACATATTTTTAGGGTTTTATTAATTGATAATGACCCATTTTGTTTTCCTTCTTTTCAGCATTATAATATGTTAAGAATTACTCTTTATTATGTACATTTCTCAAGAAATTGCAATCAAATTGTCACCCTTTAAATTTAATTTAATCCTTTGCTTTGGGATATCATACAGAAATACTCTCCTGTGCACAAGGTCCACTTTTTGACTTTTCAGATGCTTTTTCATCATATATCTACTATCATTATAGTGTGAGGTAAAGGTCTAATATTTTCTTCACTAGAGGAAAATTGAATCAATACGAAAGTTGAACAATATGAACTCTTAAACTCTGAAAGAAAATACCTTGAGAAATAAAAAGGCGAGCATTTATTTTCAATGACAAATTAAGAGGAAATGTATTTGTCATTAAAATGTTTGAAATTAATGCGGACATATAGATTAAACACGCTTTTTTACATTTTTATGCTCCCCGAAAGGTGAACATATAGTCGCCGCTTATTCCGTCGTCCGTCCGGTTATCCTTCCGTCCGTTTTCTTGTCTGGGACATAACTCTGTTACAACAAGAGTTATCAACATAAAACTTTGTAGGTAGATAGATATAATTGAGTAGAAGTGCAGTGAAAAAGAACTATATCTCTGCCTTGCCTAATTCTCAGGCGCTAGTCACATAATCAATTTTTTTACATAATCGGTCTATATATGTATATAAAGATATAAGGCCCCCAACAAAACAAAAACATCATGCGGAACAAACAAGAACAACGCTGAAAGAAACGACCAGATCACGGTTATCTCTTTCTGGTCGCCATCTGAAAGGATCAATCCAAGCGATAAAGCTTTTTATTTCATTAAAATTCTTCAAATAGCAAAGAAATGAGTAAAAGTTTCAGAAAATGCCAATATTTTCAATCCATGTCGTTTTCGACGTCCAATCTATTCATGTATGCAAACACGATTTCTGGTCGATTTCTACGAAATAAATAGAAAACATCTAAAATTTCCTCATAAAATTCATGAACAAACTCTTTTTCTATCAATCTGCGAAGTCTAAATTGAACTAGAGCCCTCTTTGTACGCAAATATTTAAAAAATATTGGTTGTAGAAGCGGAGGTCAATTAAAGTGCGCCATTTGTAATTGGAAGTGACAGATAAATGAAGCAAAGAAATAGTATTATACGATTGGTCAATAGTATTCCGGTAATTATCTTAACCAATCAAATCCTTATATAATATTCAGAGCGGAACAGTATATACATGCGCTATACATGGCGATAAAATACTGTCACAAGCGAGATCCTTGTGTATTTTTTAATGAATTACGTACGAAGAGGGCATTTGATCAGTGAAGACTTCGCAGATCGATAGGAAAAGAGTTTGTTTATGGAACGTACGTGGAAATTCTAGCCGTTTTTTGTTTTTTTCGTAAAAATCGATCAGAAATCGTGTTTGTATACATGAATGGACTGGACGTCGAAAACGACATGAATTGAAAATAATGGCATTTTGCGAAACTTTTCCCAATTTCTTTGCTATTTGAGGGATTTTAATGAAATAAAAAGCGTTGGCACTTGGATTGATCCTTTCAGATGGCGACCAGAAAGAGATAACCGTGATCTGGTCGTTAATTGCAGCAGTGTTCTTGTTTGTTCCGCATGATGTTTTTGTTTCGTTGGGGGCCTTATATCTTTATATACATATATAGACCGATTATGTAAAAAAATTGATTATGTGACTAGCGCCTGTGGCCTAATTAGGCGTTATTGTCATTTGTTTATTTTTAAACTTTAAACTTTGTCCGGGAAATAACTCTAAAACTATAAGAGATATCAACATGAAACTTTGTAGATAGATAAATCTCATTGGATATATAAGTACAGTGTTAATAAAAACTAGCTCTGACTTGCCTAATTTTGAAATTATTGCCCTCTGTTCATTTTTTACGCTTTGAACTTTGTCCGGAACATATATCAGATATCAACATGAAACTTTTTAGGTAGATCTCATGGGGTAGAAGTGCAGTGCAAAGGAACCATAACTCTGCCTTGCCTAATTTTGGAGTTACCCTTTGTTCATTTTAACACTTTGAACTTTGTCTGGGGCATAAATCTGAAACTAGTAGAGATATCAACATGAAACTGATCTCATTAAGTAGAAGTGCAGTGCAAAAGAACCATAACTCTACCTAGCCTAATTTTGAGTGATTGCCCTTTGTCCAGGACACAGTTTTTAAAGTATAATAGATATAAACAAGACACTTTGTAGGTATATAGATCTCATTAGGTAGATGTGCAGTGCATAAAAACTGTAACTCTGACTCTGACCTAATTTTGGAGTTTATGCCCTTGTTTATTTTTATACTTTGAACTTTGTCAGGGACATAATTCTAAAACTATAAGATATATCAACAAGAAACTTTGTAGGTAGTTATATCTCATTAGGAAGAAGTGCAGTGTGACTACGCATAAATCTGCCTTGCCTAATTTTGGAGTAATTATCATTTGTTAATTTTTGCACTATGAACTTTGTCCGGGTCATAACGAGATATCAACATGACACTTTGTAGGTAGATAGATCTCATTCGGTAAAAGTGCAGTACAAAAGAACATAACATAACTTGCCTAATACTAGAGTTATTGCCCTTTGTTCATTTTCACACTTTGAACTTTTGTCCGGGACATAAATCTGAAACTAGAAGAGATATCAACATAAAACTTTGTAGGTCAATCGATTTTATTAAGTAGAGGTGCAATGCAAAAGAACCATAACCCTACCTAGCCTTATTTGGGTGATTGCCCTTTGCCCATTTTTACACTTTGAACATTGTCCAGGACACAGTTCTGAAAGTATAATAGATATGAACAAGACACTTTGTATGTAGATAGATCTCATTCGGTAGATGTACAGTGCACAAGAACCGTAACTCTGCCTTGCCTAATTTTAGAATTATTACCCTATGTTTAAATTTACAGTTTGAACTTTGTCAGGGACATAACTCTGACAATATAAGAGATATGAAAAATTAACTTTGTAGGTAGATAGATAACATCGGGTAGATGAGCACTGCAAAGAACAGTAACCCTGTCATTTAGATAGATATTTTTATTCTGGTAAAAACACATGTCATAAAACAACTACAAATTCAATGTCAAAATCAAGAGATACATGTAAACATGAAAATGCATTTGTTGATGCCATATATTCAATACCTAGGATGACACAAAAAGAAGGCATAAGTCGGCTTATTTCCATTGTGGTCCTTAGAATTGATCATATGACACCAGAAAGGCAGAAAGGCAAAATAACTACTAATTATTACTTGCCTAATTTTGGAATTTTGTACATAACTCTGAAACTATAAGATGTATACTTTTCTGTAACCAAAACCTATTCGGAGAGCATCAACGTGTTCAATCAGTTCTTCTTTAGAATATTGCGTCATGCATTCAGATACCGGTATTTTTCATATGAGATATATTTATCACATATTTGGCTTGTTTGCACTGCCTATTAAGGATAAGTTGAACGTATTTTTATCTATATTTGATTTCTTTTTTAAAATACATTTTATTTGGTTAAAGCGAAAATATCATCACATTATCGGCTGAAGTAAAAGTATTTCCCGCCAATCCACGAGGACCAAGCTGTGTAACTGAAGTATCCGCCATATTTGATAGTGTAGGGGAAAAGGAAATTTGCTTCCATTCAGCGTATGCTTTTTAAAGATTTAATTTTGAAACATAAATCTCCATGAAATATTAAGAATTTCAATGTAAGAATTTTTACTTTTATTTTATATAGTAAATAATATTTTAAAAGAAATTAGTGGCCGTTGTTAAGTAAATCACGTTTTTTATTATCCGATACAAAAGAGCTCCTTTAGCCATAGTTCAGATAAACATTGGGTTATAAAGCACGATAGTTTTGATTCATTTTGAACTGAAAAAAGAAATGACAATTTTTCATTTTTACTTTTGTCATGCAGTTTTCACAACCACTTCTAGTATTACGTCATATTGTAAATGTGTTTTTATAAAACATTTTAGAACAGTATTTTCACAATATTATAAACAATAATACATTATTACTTAAATTCCTTGTCGGAATATCGCACCAAAATATAAATACAGATATCAAAATTACCTAGAACACTTTCATGCAATTTTACTGTTTTTAATATTCCCGAGTTTTTTTTCAGATATGTTTATACCGTATATCTTATATTTTTCAGCTCGTTTGAATACCAAAAACTTTGTTACACATTTATTGTTTATACCAATGACAAACAAGGTATTATATTATTATATAAACTATATCATATTTATTGTTTTTAACCAGCAATATTTGAAAGAAGAGTGCCATTTTTGAATTATATTTAATTTTGAAACGGTATTTCAGTTGTTTAACCGTTATTTTATTGCCGAACATCTCTGAAACATAACAATGTGCCAAATATTGTTTATTAATCCAACTGTTATGACATCAATAAATCATCGAAAACATTAGCCTAGACTAAACACAGCTGCTATTTTTAACACTCGAGTAAGAATTTCTTTTCATTTTGAGTTGGAGAATAGTATGACGAAAATGTCAATGACATTGCTATCAATCCGGTTCTTTCAAGATTCATGTAAAAATCTTAAAATCTGATTAAAACAATCGATCATATCATTTTTTGTTTGAAAATAAAACCATTACATACCTTTAATCGGATAATGAATTAGAAATCAATCTTTCAAAGCTGCATGCTCGTAAGTTTTATTTTTCAATATTCCTGTAACGAATAGAGTTAAGGTTAGTTATTTCCTTAATCAATCGAACCCATAAATGAAGGCTCAGATATCTGTAAAACCTTTTAGTCTAGGTTTTATGTACTTGATATATAAAAGTAGATATATTTTACTTAAGTAAACACTAAAAGGTGATTGAATCTCAGGAGCAAGGTATTGCCTCATTAACAGTTAAACATAATCAGAATAAGGTCAGTTTTCATTAAAAGAATTGTTAATGTTATTGTGCTTTTCTTAAAACAGGTCCCTGTTCCAGCTCACCATGTCAGAACAATGGGCATTGTTTTCGCACAGATCAAGATAACTATAAGTGCGTTTGTCAAGACAGTTATGTTGGTGATTATTGTCAAACAGGTTAGAAACATTACTAAATTTCCTACTTTTTCATGTGTTATATTTGTTTTGCAAAGCCCTCCTTGCAAATTAAACATCTTTTTTATTCGCTCTTTACATTATTTCTATTCATACCTCAAGGTAATTCTAACTAATGGCATCCAGACGTCTACCATGTATGTGAGTTATCTGCTTATAATTCAACTGAATATCTTCCGTAAAGCACATACATATGTGTAGTTCGATTGCAATCTATATGTCTTTAAATCTATTGTTACCGTTATAGCAAATCCATTGGTTTTTACAAACATTACTAATTGCAAATATTCTGAAAAGATACTTTCATCTTTACGATGCTGTAATTTGCTGACAATTAAATTAATTGGTAAATTTTCTTTGATTTGCATTTCCTTTGATTTGAATACTCTGTAACATAGACACTGTGTTGACATATAACTAAAAACTTTAAAAGAGACTTTGCTCGCTTCTTTTTTCTGGCGTCATAAAATTACATTTTCAGTTTATTTTCTACTCTAGTCAATTGGTGTTTTGATTGATTAAAGTAACTAAAAATATATTTAATACAGGTCCTTGCCAGTCAGCTGACAATCATTGCCAGAATGATGCTTACTGTCAAGTACACGATGGTGTTACTACATGTATTTGCAAAGCCGGATTCTTTGGACCTGAATGCAGTAAAGGTGTTTTTGAAAATCTTTCATTACTGTTTAGTCTGCCCGCTAAGCTCATTTGGGAGGCCATTGATTGTTGTTTGTATCTTAGGGCGAGGAGTTATCTCTTAGTGACAAATGATCTTGTACATTGGGTCTTATTGTCATTTGTTCTTCACTGCTTATCCAAGCATTATGTGGGATTAGTAGTCAGTCACTTGCTCTGAATTAATAAGTACTGGTAAGTTAACAGAAAAGCCCGTAAAGAGATGTGACCAAAATATGTGTACAATCTGAAATACAATGTGTTTCTTATAAAAAAAAAACACTGACTTTGATGTACAGTTTATATTTAAAACTCAAATTAAAAGATAGCACAATATTTTTGATGTTTTCGCTGTCATTCAAGTTTTGTTCATGTTTACATATTTCAACTGTTTTGTGTAAGATATATTCAAGCTAACACGTTTTTCATATAATCTTTCAGGTCCTTCAAGTTTACAAAGTTCATTTCTTGTAAGTTTTAGCATAATATTTAAGTTCCTTGTTAAATTAAGATATGTTACTATCTCAACAATGTGTTTTTTACGAATTGTTTTCAATATTTATCAGGGTATATAGATAGTCACGAAGTTGATTTCCCTTATTAAAGCAGCAAATTCTGATACTAAGAAATATTCAGAAACGCTCTAAGGTTCACGGAAGTAGGTAAACTGTAATTCAATCTATTGTCTGATTTAGCAAGTAGATGTTTCTTGGTCATGTATCGCTGTATATGTGTCTTTACATTGCACAATTTCTTCATATATTTTATTGATTTTTTATTAAAATATTTTTATGTAGCTACGATATCATTGAAATAATAAAACCGGTGCAAATTTCTTGTATTTCATTTGTTAATATTTGTACCAAAACCGTGTATCATTTGTATGTTTCAGAAATTCACTGATACGGCAGAGCCTACCTCTTTCTTCTGTGTTATAAATCAAATATGTAGTTTTTCTCTAGTACTCACCAGTCGGACAAAAATGATGTACGTACGTTTATTTTTATATTTTGCTTGCCAACATTTGAACAAAATAAAGCTTGATTTATATAACTATATTCCTGTCAAATATTATTAGATTATCATGCATTTAACAAATATGTATGAGAGTACAGGCAAAAATCCAACAAGATTAATGTTTTTGCATAATAGAAGAATGAAACGCCAGCTGTCGTCACAGGCGGGACTATCTAGCTCATAGGTAACTGTTTAGAGGAAACACAGTAGAGTTTTGGTACCGCCAAAACAATAACCCTCGAGCTAGATATTCCTGAAAAGGAAATACTCAGTAAGTAAAGACGAAATTGTTATGACAGTAGAAAATAAAAATAACCATTTTATTGCAAGCAGCACTGAATAGTTATTCTTAATGCATTGTTTTACATGACTTTATTATTATAGTAAATTTCGTTCTTGGTTTCTTAAAACTAAAACAAATAATTACAGTGTTCAGACCTGAACTAATAATAGTAAACTTTTAGACCTA